GGGTCCTGTGGTGGTCTGGACTTGGATCAGGGTCCTGTGGGGGTCTGGGTGTGGGTTGATGATGTCATCATTTGTCTGCAGATCAGTAAATAAACGTTTCTGTTTTGTGAAACTTTATTTTCTTTATTTCTGAGCAGAACTCTGATTTTCATGTTTCTCTTTGATGTTCTGAGTCCAGAAGAGAACTCCGCCTCCTCTTTAGGCTGAAAGACATGAAGAGAATAAAAAACGCGTTTTGTTGTTTAAAGTTTAAAGTTGCTGAAGAACCGTTAGAAGAACAGCTTCTCCTCGGCTCATCAGAACCTTCTGAGAGTCGTGACGACCGCAGACGTCTGCGCGCTGACGACGCTCCGTGAGGTCACGTTTGAAGACGTCTTCGTGTGGACGACGATGAAGAAAGCAGAAATCAAACGGAGCTTCAGGCTGCCTCGTGGTTAGTCTGCGGCGTGACGCCCGGACTCTCCGGTTGTTTTTTCTGAGCCGAGGCGGCTCTGCGGCACGGAGAGCTGCCTGTGATCTATTAATACACGTGCAGGAATTAGTCAGAGCCGCTCCAGCAGTTAGCTGGCTGCGCGGGAGATCTGGCTCCGGTCCGGAAAATCAGCCAAAATTCTGCTCTCAATCTGCTGCCGACGACAGGAAGTGGAGACTCTGAGGCTCCCAGAAGGCCGAGCGCTGCACGCACCTCACGGAGGGGTCAGAGATCACGGGCCAGAACCAGAATCTGGACTGACGGGAGCTGAAACCTGCAGGAGACGTCTTCAAGGGTTGTCGTTTAGAGTCTACGAGTCGTGTTCTGTGACTGAAAGAAAATAAAGTGACGTTTTCTTTTAAAGAACAGAAATCAAAAACAAACTTAGTTTTATTTATGATCAACTACAGCAGCTGCTGCATTACTGTAGTTAGGTAATGTAGGATGGTTTTTGTTGTTAGTTTACTGTAGTTAATTTACTGTAGTTTGTTCATGGTAGATGGTTTATGGTAGTTTACTGTAGTTAATTTACTGTAGTTAGGTCATGGTAGATGGTTTATGGTAGTTAGTTTACTGTAGTTAATTTACTGTAGTTTGTTCATGGTAGATGG